AGTGAAAGTATCCTGAAGAAAAATTTGATAAATTATACACACCATCTTTATAAATTGTCATAATTATGTCAGAATTTTTTTTAATGGTGAAATAATAAAAAATTGCTTTATTAAAATATTACAAAAGAGTATATATAGTATTTCATCTTCATTATAAAAATACTCATCTAGAATAAAAACAGACAAGGGTTTATAAATGTTCTTTATTTCTTCTTTATCCTACGTATATCTTTTATAATTTCTACAAAGAATTGCTTTTACTTTTGTAATTTGAAAACAGTTATTAAAAACTCTGTTTGAGACTTACCTCTTAATACATCAGTGCAAATTTGTCGAATAAACTGTTCTGAAAATTCTCTCCCCTGCATCAAATTATTAGGGGTTATAACATGTATATACCAAGTAAAAAGCAATGAAAACTATGAAAGAAAGTGGAATACATACAGGCTTCCCATCCAATCCTGGAGGTCCCCGAGGACCTGTTTCTCCAGGTTGTCCCTGGGGACCCACAGGCCCCATCAGGCCATCCATCCCAGATTCTCCTTTTGGTCCAGTGGCACCTCTGACACCAGGTTCTCCCTTTTCACCTTTCTAAAGGCAAAAGAAATCCTCAAGAGTTCTATTTAAATATTTGAGGAGGTGTAATTGCATCTTGAAAATCCTCAAGGATATGGATATAAATATAAAACATATATATGTTATATAGGAAGATACTGTTAATGATCAGGAGGGAAATTTTATATCACATTCAACAGCCATTTATCCATCCATTCCCCCCATCTACTATTTCTTCAGTTTATTATGTAGGCAATAAATAGTGCCAGAGATACAATGAATGTGACACAGTCCTATTTTCAAAGAGTTTAAATTCTAGCGAGACAGGCAAATACGAAAACACAAAATATTATTCATTGAAAAATATGCAGCAAAAATTTAGCACCCAATCTAAAAGAAGAACCAATAATATTAACAAATACGTAACATTTCATACCTAACTGAATGAATCTACAGATCCTGAAAGTCACTATTTAGGAACCACTGAAGAACATAAAAGACATTTTCTGTTTGCAATACCAATTACTAGATTTATATAGTAGTGAAAATCCAAGCAATAAGAACTGAAGAGGGAGCATAACAGGTGAAGAAACATACCTCTCCTTTTGCACCATGATGACCTTGAATTCCCTTTGAAAATTAACAGGGGGAAAAACTGTAATAAATGTGTAAGCTACAGTACCAGCAATGTGGCATGCACCATTTACCACACAAATCAAATTTAATTTGTAATTTGAAAAATATTGATACAATTAGTGTCAGATTTACACAGATAAGAGATCTCCTTTGCTTTTTTAAAGGAGACTAATGACTAGGCAATATGCTAACTGAATATATAAAAATGTTCATTTACATAACTGTTTCATTGTTAGATATGAATATTTTATATGCTGCAGGCCAAGTATAAGGTTAGAATGAGATTCTATCTGAATTCTACTTAAATTTAAAATAACAATAAATTTTATGCTGAACTTAAAATATATTACTATTTTAATGAAAATTCAAATTCAAATAAGGAAAGATAAGGTATATTTATTCTTTTATTTTGCAATTTAGAGTATTACATTTTCCTGTAGATGCTGTTAAAGTTATACTTTATTGCATACTACTGAACAAAAGATAAATTAAAGCAAAGATACCAGTAAAGTGATTAATAGGAAAGAAAATGCCTATTTGTCCTACGCCTAAGCCACTCACTGCTAGTAAATCACTGGATATGAATACATGCAATGGCTATATAGAATTATTTTCCACTCATCTTTTTCACATATTCATTCCAATGATATAATATAGATAATAAGAACTTTCAGGGAAGTCATTAAAATTTCCCATTTTTGAAATTCATCATATATTCAAGGCTCTAAGATCACCAATATCAGTTCAAAACAAGGGTCTGGTTTTCATAGACACATTATTTTCACAGATTTCATTATTCAACTTTAAAATTAAAAATTGATGTTCTTAAATTCAATATAAAATGTAGTGTAGAACATTCCGCACAATGAATTTTGAGTTTGAGGATTTATTTTTATTTATTTCTCAGTTACCTAAAAATGGATATTCAAATTAGACAAAAGGAAATAAAAATTAGGTAAAATCAGTGTATGGCACAGAGAAAGGTAGATTCTCAAATTGAAGTGTAACTTAAAAATATAAAAATCTTAGTGAGTAAACTCTCTCTGTAAGGCCATTCATGAAATAACGAGGATTCTGAAGAAATGCAGCAGTATTCCCTACCAGACATAATCCTACAAGTGGGTTCAGTGTAAGAGGAAAGATAAAATAGTAAGTTCTCAGGACTAAAACTGAATTAAAGCTGAAACCGAAAACAGCTGTCATCCGAGAATCCACTAAGATGATTTCATGAGAGAAACATTCACTTGAATTTCATTCATAACAGGAATGCCAAGCAATTACACATGCACAGCACTTAGTAGGAAGGCAGGTAACTCAGACTTAGTTGACTTTTAAAGAGTTTGGGCAGAGTATCCAGCTGCTGAAAAAGCAACAAGTGTCCTCCACATCAGCTCAGTTCCTGGGGGTGGGAAATGCAGCTTTCAATGAAGGGCAGAAGCTGCCTAGGGAATCCAAATCCTACCTTAGGGAGCAGACTTGCTATTTTCCTTGAGAAGTGAGAGAAAAACAAACCAGTGAGCTAGCTATGTGTGAGCTCAAACTCCAAAGGAAGTATCCTTCTGTTTAGAGAGTTATTGTGAGTAACAATTTCTGGTGAAAGGCCTGGGCTAGGGAGGTTGAATGGATGAAGACCCCTTCTCCTCTGGGAAGACTGTTTATAGAGAGTGAAAGGGAATTTTTGAACTGGAACCCGAATTCTATGTCCACTGGAGTCGAAGAATGAATCCACGGACAGAAGATGGTATAGGAAATGTGGGAATTTATTAAAGAACAAGTACAGACTCCCACAGAGGGAGGGGGAAGAGTCCCATAGAACAGACTCCCAAATGGGGAGGGGGAAAGTGTCCCACTGAGTTCCTTTTCCCTATGGCTTACAAGGGCTGCAGATCTTGGTGCCTTGATATCCCCTCTAATTGGTCACTATTCCCTTAGCCTGGTTACTATAGTAACTCCTGGGCTCAAAGGTTGAACCTCACATGGGACATGTGAGGTTCTCCCCTCCTCCTTCCTTATTGTTTTCCTATTCCCTTTGGGCTTTCTTCTTCTCCTTCTGCATGAAGGGCTTCCTGCCCTTTATTTTGTAAACACTTGGAGTGCGGGTGAATTTCCCGCCAAAATATAAGATGGCTCTGTCTTTTGGTTTTGTTCCATCCACCAAAAGGGTGGATTACAAACAAATATTTGGTAATACGCAGTTACAATCGTCCCGAGTTTACACGTTTCCCGCACTCCACCGCAAATCTATATGAACCGAGTTAAAGACGGCTCCCGCGGAGTACGCGCAATTCACGCGAGCTGACTTAACTCGTTTCCCGCACTCCAAGTGTAAATATAGACCTTTTGCTGTTTCCAGCTCCCTCATTCTATAGAAATGTACCTGTTGCAGCTTTTCAGTGTCCCTGTTCTATGGAAATATACCTTCTGTTGCTCTGCAGCCCTGTGCTTCCTCCATGGTCTCTTTAATTTCCAAAATTTCTCAAATTTCCTAAAATCTGTCTTTTTCACCCCCCAAAATTCCTGTTTCAATAGGTGTGATTAACTTAGGGAAACTGAGGGGGTTGGTCTATGTGGCAAGGGAGGGGGAACAGGGACAGGGTTGGTAGTGTCATCAAGTGAATTTGAATCAAGTGGAGGATCACAAAAATTAAGAGACATTTTTCATTAACATTGTGGTACCGTGGGAAACTCAATCTATTTCTCCTCTTAGATACCTTGGTGCTTATTGTCAGCTTCTAAATTATCAACTCTTCTTAATATCTGCACTCATCTTCCAGCCCATATTACAGACAACCTTGGGGCCATATGCTTTTAAACACTCTTCCCGAGAACTTTCAGATTTCTCCAAGTGAGGGACAGAGATCCCTGTCCTTAGAGACAGCACTATATAGTTTTATCCACGTGTCTCCGGAACTGGTGTAATTACTGAATCTTTCTCCTTCCCACACACAAAAGTGACCACTCTATGGGAGGGCTCCTATGTACAGCTTGCCCTTTAAAAGTGGACCAAGTTGGAACTGAGCTTAAGTATAGGCGATGCAGCAGGAAACATGCTATGTAAGTATTAATCACTTTTGTGCTCTTTTTGGTTCAATTTGGCTCCAACTGAACTTATGTGCCAGATGGTAATCTCATTAAAACACTAATTAATGAGGAGAATTTAGTCAGGGAAGAAGCAAAACAATCTTATTATGCATCTGTTTCATGACACGGTCCCTCAAAATAAGATTTTAATAAGTCTCCGGTGTAGTAATTTATATTTCTGAACAAACTAGAGGAAAACAAGTACATTCCTCCACTACATATGGCCTCAACGTTCATATTGCAAGAAGAAAATCAAGATTAAACAGTAGGTATGGAGATGCTGTTGTTGTACTGGTGCCTTTGGCCAATAAATGCTCCTAAAATGGGTGGCATTGTCTACCTTCAGTCATGTAAATGGCCATAAAAAAGCATTGAAAAGGTTTCAGAGCCGATAAGAAAGTAAACATAAAACAATTAAAGCAAACCAGTATACCACCACCACCTAGCATTTTCATCCTTGTATGATTAGAATTCATCTTACATTGACCCTTCCTCCCTATTTTTAATGAAAGTAACCCTCACTCAGCACTGCCCAGTTATATTATTCCTTATTTCATTTTCCATGAAAAAAAAATATACCTGTTGCCCTGGAATCCCTGGTCTTCCATTTTCTCCCTTTTGGCCCTTTAAAATTTAACAAATGTTATTAATTAGTTTGCACACTTATGATGCAATCACATATAAAAACAAACCATGTATTACTTTATAGTCTAGAATAAATGTCGCAAAAGCAGTAATGCAACTATGTAAATGATGTTAGATGTAGGGTAGTCTCTCAACAAAAAAGTGAGAGAAAAATTAACCTAATATATTTAAAATGGATAGAGACAAGGAATAAACTTTGGGAGAACAGGTAAATAATTGTAGGTAGCTGAGAATGTTTTTCCAAGTCCACATAAACAGCACGAAAGTAATTTAAAAATCCAATGGCTGTGGACATTTTATTAATTTCAATGATACAATTATGTTCAGTGTGGATTATACACATTTGAGGACAAGAAGACCTCTTTAAAGGAATTTTTAAACATTAAAAATATACTGTAAATATATTTTGAATGAATATAATTAAATCAGGACACAGAAGAAGGGAGAAAAATTGATAAAGATATAAACACATTTGTCCACTCAATAAATATTTTTGGATATCCACCATTTATAAGACATTGTACTAGACCTGGAAGCACTACTTCATTCCTCTGTGGAACAAGATAATTGACCGTTTCTAGGAAAATATATGCCTTGATAATATGATCAATTAAAAATCTAGTGACTAAAATTTTAAATCACTCTTACATAGTGATTTGTTCATTTTCTTACATAGGTGAATTCCCAATATTCATTGGCAAGCACCCATTTGTGGGACCTTAGAGACACGAAAACAAAGATAGCATTGCTGCCTTCGAACTGCTTACTGAGTGGGGGGAAAGATAATCAATTAAGTCAAGGGTGAAAATTTTAAAAAACAGAATACCGAAAATACTGTCTGATAAGTACACAATGTGCAATTAAACATCTGGCTGGGTACTATTGAAACATAGAAAGGGGCATCTGACAGAGAGAGTAAGGAAGATGACTCAACTTTTCAACCTTTTGGGATGACTAAGAGGTAGCCAATGAGAAAAGATAAGAGGGTGTTTGAGGGAGTCAACTACAGAACAAAGGCAAGTAATTTCTTTTGGCTAAAGCAGGGGGCAAGAATGGATAACAGTGGGCAGAGTGGCAAGAGATAAGACTGAAGAAGAAGATTCAGTTAAACCAGGAGGAATTTTATGAGACAGACTTTATCTTGAACTGTGTGGGGCACCATTGATGGATTCCTAAGCAGATAGGTAATTCAGTTATTGCATACTGGTAAAGGGGGGAGGGGGTAAGGCGGGTAGGGAGGAAGTAGACTGGACTCAAATAGACCAGTTAGAAAATATTATAGTAATCCAGGACCACTGATAAGAAATGATTAGGATGGGGGGGGGCGTGCAGGGAACAGAGAACAGCCAAGTTCAAGAGACATTTAGATATAAAATTGCATGTGAAGAAAGAGATTGAGTTTTAAGATGACTTCTAAGACTTTATTTCTTGGGTAACTATGTGGTGGTACCAGTTACTATGACATAGAATCTATGGGTAGGAGATAGTTTATGGGGAAAGATGACAAGTCCTGATTTAAACATGTTGTGGTACATGAGACCTTGGTATTCCAAAAGCAATACCAAGAAGAAAATTGGAATATATGGGTCTAGAGCTCACAGTTACTTAAAATTTACCTCACTCCTAATTTCAAAATTAACTTAGAAGAATCACAATAATACAATAATACTTGAGTATCTTCAGTAAAAAACAAAACACATAAACCCTGCTTTTTCTGAAAACAAAACAACTGTTAGACTGTTACCTTAGCAGATTTTAACTCTATTATTATCTATTTGAAATTTTCTTTTATGCCTCCAAAAATTCTAGAACTCTCAAAATTCTGTGAAATTTTGCAAATAATTTTTCTTTTCACATTAAGCTTATTCTACATAAAACTAAGCCATGATAACTGAGTTTTATAATCTTAAAAACATTGTAAAAGTACTGTCTAGACATTAGATATATAATTCGTGGTTGGAAAGGTCTTCCATTCCTAAAACTTAACAGGTTGAAAGACCAACAGATATAATTTATTCCAGCTAAGCATACCATTGATCCTGGTAGTGGCATCCTATTTATGGGTCAGTGTTCAGTTAGTGAAAAAAACCCTTTGAATAGCTACTTAAATTGAGATGAAACTGTCCTTGTCTTCCATAGTAGCATGGTTCTCCTCTTTGTTTTTGTTGCTAAGACACCCAAAAGGAAATGACCTTCTTAACCACCCTCGATTCCTTGGCCCAACATAATTTTCTGTTTAATTATCCTTCTGTTGATTAGTATTACATTAGATATTAATAATTATTACATTAGATATTAATAATTTCTTATCAAATTTACTTGTGCCATAAGCCATTTCAAATCATTTTGAAACATATTCACTATGTAATAAAATATATATCTATTTTGTTGAATCACTTGGTTTTAAGTTTTTTACAACAATGAAGTGGTAAAAAAATCATTTTTTATTTTATTTTATTGTTGACACTATTGCAGATGCCCCCCATTCCCCCCCCCCGCTTTTCCTCCCCTCAACCCAGCACCCCGCCCCCCAATCCTTTACCACATTATTGCCTGTGACCATGGGCTATGTATATATGCTCTTTGATTAATCTTCCAGTTCCCCCAGCCCCCACCCATCTTGGATCTGTCAGTCTGTTCCATGTATCCATGCCTCTGGTCCTATTTTTTTTCCATCAGTTTATTTTGTTCATTAGATTCCACATATGAGTGAGATCATGTGATACTTATCTTTCTCTGACTGGCTTATTTTGCTTAGCATAATAATCTCCAGGTTTATCCATACTGTCTCAAAGGGCAAGAATTCCTTCTTTTTTTATAGCCATGTAGTATTCCATTGTGTAAATGTACCATGAATTTTATATACTGATGGGTACTTGGGCTGTTTCCAGATTTTGGCTATTGTAAATAGCGCTGCTATGAACATAGGGGGGCATACATTCTTTCTGATTGGTGTTTAGGGATCTTAACATTAGATTTGACATGGTCTGAACAGTTTAGTAATGAAAGGAGAAAGCTGGAATTTAACAATTAGATATTGATGGTAAAAGACAAAGGAAGTGGAAAAGCAACCAAGGCATTAAAAGAATAAAGACCTTATTTTATAGCCAAGCAGAAAAAAAGAGCCAACAATATACCTGAATGCCTTTTTCACCTTGATTTCCTTTGTCTCCCTGCAAAAAGGCAGTTTTAGATGTATCATAATAGCATATTATGTCTCAAGCAAAGAAAAACATGTGATCTCATACAAATTCCACAAATGCCTTATATACAGAAGCTGACTCCAACACATTTGGGAAGAGAATAAAACCACATTCTGTCAAAATGATCTAAATGAACATTTTCTTATGCTTTTACAGTCAAAAGAAAATTTACTACTATTTCTATTTTACCAGAAGAAGAAAACTTTTCTATATTGATCATAATCTGAAGTTAAACAAACAAGGAAAAGAGGACTTATTTTGGCAAATGTTATCTTAAGAAATCAAACTGAAAAATCTTCCATTAAGTTCATAGTAGCCACAATGTTAGAGGAAACAATGAAATAAAACAATGTTAAAATTATATTTAAAAAAAATATGATTCCAAATGAAGTTTGGGGGGATTATATTCCATAATAATAAGCCTCCTAGAATTTCTCAAAAGAGACATTAGAGACCAACTAGTTCAAGGTCCTTGTTCGTATTGATAATGAACCCACAGATCAGGAAAGGAGACCGCTCTCCTAAAGTTGAACTTGGACAGTTTCCAAATTTCTTTTTACTGCACCAGGTTATCAGCAAAAAAAATAAAAAAATAAAAAAATACAGCTTTTGTGTTTACAGTAAGCAGAATACAGATTTTCTTTTATATGGCAAATTTCTGAACAAGGAAATGCTCGAAATCTATGTATTCACAGATTTACTTTAATATTCACTAAGGATCAAATACTTAATTGCTGCTATGAAGGTCATTCCTATGTCAGCAAGTGCTGCCTACTGCTCATCAGAACCAAAAGGTCAAGGATCATTCTGGGCATAATAATTTAGGGGCCAAGTAGATAATACATGAGGGATAGAAAAACAGAATGGCAGAAAAACCGAAACAGCAAAAGATATGCAGATGAAGACCTAAGAGCTTGTATCCTTTCCAGAATACTAAAAGCCACTATATCTACTTCTAACCGGAAATGCATATATTTATAGTGGCATAGACTGTTTTGACAAACGGGCAGTCACTTGTTGCTTAAAACCTTCAAACAAATGATACAGCTTAGGGTTCCTTGAAAGAGAAGAGAGAGAATTTTATATGAGCATATACGACTTGTATTTTAAACTCCTTAGAGGAATTTAATGATTTCTCTGTAATAGAATTGTTAATCGATAGGAACTTCATGGTGAAACATCTGATTGTAATTTTTATCCTTTCAGACTCTCGCCCCGGTTTCAGTAAGAGCGAGTCATATTTTGGTAAGCGTGCCTGACATTGAGTACTTTTCCTGAGACATTCTTCACTCACCTGGATTGACTGCAAAACAGTCTAAATTTAGAGAATAGTATTTAATTGTATGTTCAGCTTTTCTGATCTGAAAGCCTCTTCCCAAGTCCTCATCTAGAAGATAATACCCACACAGGGACATGAAAGACACCACAGCTTTTAGCATGAGCTTAAACATAGTGTACAGGTCAGCGTATCACTAAACGTATAATCAGTCCTACTATCCAATTTTCACCAAAGGAAAACTTACATGTTAGCAGCTCATGAAAAGTGAATTATATCTCCCAAACAACGCTTACCTTTTTGCCTTGGATTCCAGGTAAACCCAGGTATCCTGGTTCTCCCGGGGGGCCTACTGCTCCTGGCTCTCCCTAAGTAACACAGAAATTACAGAAAGATCACAGACCTAGTGCTTATGAAAAATACCGCTGTTTTTATTTCTACATATACCTCAAATTTTAAATTGCTGGTAAAAAAAATTGGTTGACATTTAGAGTTATTACTATAGGAATAATAAAGAATAATAAGTTTACTGGACTCCCAATAAAACCTCTTATATATTTTTCTATAGTTAAGAATTTCTGATAGCATACCATAACATTTTATGAATATTTGGTACTTTTATTATATTTCATAACATTAATAAAGTAAATAATAAAGTAGTGAAAATAATAAACATAGGTATCTTTTTTCCATTTACTAACCACTTTTTCTTCCTCCTTGAAACTGCTTTTTCTGATATTGCTAATTTAAAATTTTTACTTTATTGTTTCAAAAATGGTAAGTAAATAGAAGTAATAAAAAGTATTGAAAATCTCATTACCCACTATTTTTATTTTGTTGTCTATTTTCTCTCTACCTTTCACAAACACATATACATAACATAGTTACTAATACATGCTATGTATGCATAATTTTCATCTTTTACTTCAACACATATATATTGTGCACTTCTTTATATGACATTATGTTTTTTAAAACATGATTTTTAAATCACAGAATAGTATTCAACTCTATTGATTTGCTATATTTTATTGACTAAAATTCCCATAGTGTTAAACATTGGTTTTCAAAATTTTATTTTTATAAACAATATTGAGGTAAACCAACATCTTTGTAGTTAAATTGTGTGCACATTTGTAGCTTTTCTTTATACATATGGAATATTATTTTCTTAGAAGTAAATTCTTGAGCTGTTTCAGAATAAAGAATATCCCTGAGTTATCTTAACTCAAATTGTCTACTCTTCATCATCTCATAGGGGTTATTTTCTTTCTTTCTTTTTTGAGTGCTGAGAATCACTTTATTGCACGTGTTTAGGGGCTTGGAGTGCTGGGGAGCCTGGAGAGGGAACACACAGCAAGCTCCATCCAAGCGAGAGGCTCAGGGACTGGTGCTGGGACACGACCCCCAGTGGGGGAGGCCCAGGTGGTGGCAGCAGCTGCTGCCTCTGCTGTCACTCCTGCGGGAGCCTGGCTCTGTTGGCCCTGCCCGGCCCGAGTGTCACTGTAGATGACTGCGCTGATCCGATCCTCTTCGTCCATGAAGCTCCGTTGCACCTGCTCCAGCGTCCAGAGGCAGTACAGTGAGGACCCTGCCTGCCAGCATGACCCGGAGGCAGAATCCCAGCACCTGCTGGCGTGTCTGTGCTGCTGCTGCTGCTGCTGCTGCCTCTACTCTGGTCCCTGAGGCCTCACACCATAAAACTGGACCCAGTATCTTAAACATTTTAAATAAGGAGGTTCTCAGAAAGCATAGTGTGAAGATGTATCAACAATTTTTGGGTTAAAACTGTAAGAGATGGAACAACTTCCTGAACGCTTCATGGTTTTTTGTGTTTTGTTTTGTGTTTAACCATCAGTCTAAAACTCTATCCTAAAACCTAAAGACTACCCTCTTCCGTAGAAACTAAGTTTTTTTTTCTTTGCTCATTGTGCCTGCTCCTGAGCTGCTCACTATTACACTAGATTTTTAAAAGCTGAAGGGGATTGAAAATCTCATGAAATAAACACAAGCACGGTTTGAGGGAAACTGGTAACAGCAGCCATGGGTCCCCACTCTGAAAATAAAGCAAACAAAGGAACAGCACTACTTATGGGAGCCACCCACTCTTGTTTGCACCCATGTGGGAGAGTGATATTCTCTAGACCAGAGAGAGTGTTCATATTAGCACATGACTTTTACCATTTCCAGAAAAATCAAGTCAAAGCATATTTTATACATTTATTATCCAAACTATGAGAAAGTGTCCAAAAGACAGAAGTGAATTGGCCCACGTTGGTCATTTCCTTCCATGTACCTTAATTTTGTGACAAAGGAAATCCTAATTTCAGATAACTTTTCTTAAGAGATACAAATGTTAATTTCATCAAAGAGGGAAACTTACAATTCTTTGAAAATATTTCCAAGTGCATCAAATCACAGTTACCTTGAGCCCAGAAACCCCAGGAATCCCTTGAAGTCCAGGTTCACCTTTATTTCCCTGTCAATGCATCAAAACCATTTGAATTAAAAAAATGAGTCATAATTTATCTGATATAGACATTTACAGAAATATATTTAAAATAATTTTTAGCCCTAGCCGGTTTTGCTCAGTGGATAGAGCATCAGCCTGCAGACTGAAGGGTCCTGGTTTCAATTCTGGTCAAGGGCACGTACCTTGGTTGCAGGCTTGATGCCTGACCCTGGTAAGGGCTCATGTGGGAGGCAACCAATTGATGTGTCTCTCTCACATCCATATCTCTCTCTCTCTCTCTCTCTCTCTCTCTCTCTCTCTCTCTCTCCTTCTCCTCCTCCTCCTCCTCCTCCTCCTCCTCCTCCTCCTCCCCCTCCTCCTCCTCCTCCTCCTCCCCCTCCTCCTCCTCCCTTCTACTCCTTCTAAAAATCAATTGAGGAATATCACTACCCACCAGAGTGAGAATGAACAAAATAAAATATTTTTACATTTTCAACTTTCTAATTGTTTGAAACATGGACTCTACACATTGAGCCTACTTATGAAGAAAAACTCTTTTATGCAAGGGAGTTCTCACATTTATAAAAGCTCTCTAAAAGTATGTGTTTTTTATACCAGCAGGTCCAAGTATAAGGGGAGAGATTAAAATATTTAGGGACCGGAGCTAATTAGCTAAGTCTCCACACCGCACAGACTGAAGCCACATATTTTCACAACATCCTCTGGGCTGAAGATCTTTATCTTTGCTGTTTTACTTTCTCACTATGGCTCACCCTCAGGATGCACCTGAAGGAAAGAAACCTAGCTTCCAATGTACAGTGGCTTTTTTGAAGCAATATACATCAGAAAATGTTTAGTTTGTGCTCTTTTTCAAGATTCCAGCACAGTCCTTTCTAACAGAAACTTGGCGAGGAGGACTGAATTGACAGCAAAGAATGTAAGACAGGACAAGATGATTGGATATAAAAGAGAGAAAAGGCCTGCTGGCTAATAAGGAGAGATTGTCAAAGGTTGTTCTGATTTGCAAATACACAATAATACCTGAAATCACAACCCAGTCAGTATCTGGCAAAAGCCCTGATTAAACAGGTGTGTGTGACACCTGAAAGGGGCAGGTGATGATCATCCATAGCCAAGTTGGATTCACTCATAAGGGAACCAGCTTCATTTTCAGCTTCGAAAAGTGCTCATGCTGAGAAACAAGTGAACCTGATATGTGGATTTAATTAAAGCGTGTAGCACATAACAGCAGTGTTGAGCCATAGAACAACAGCTCCTTAACATTTCTAATGTTACAAGTGATTAAGCTGGAAATCAAGGCTGTCAGAAGCCTTGCCAAAAGTTACATGGCTTGATTATGTTAATATGCCCTAATATCAGTCAAGTAATGTCTTTGAAAACTGGAATGCAGTGTGGTGAAGTAGACTTCTAATGGTTAAACAGCTATTTTAAAAAGAGGTATTATAATCTAAATTAGAAGTGTTCTAAAGATATACCACAGAGTGTCTACCTCACCCCTGCCCTTCTAAGATAGCTTTTTGTCCCACTCCAGACAGTGATACTGAAGGCATAGTCCACATACATACACTTGACAAAACTGGCAGAAATAAGCTAATAGAGAGGTCAGTAAACTATGACCCGTGGGTTAAACCTAGCCCAAAGCATGTTCTTTTTTGTGTGTGATTTTTTGTTTTGTTTTGTTTTATTTTTTAATATGGAATGCTTCACGAATTTGCATGTCATCCTTGGGCATGGGCCATGCTAATCTTCTCTGTATCGTTCCAATTTTAGTTTATGTGTGGCCGAAGCGAGCACCAAAGCATGTTTTCGTAAATGAAGTTTTAGGGGAACACAGGCATATCCCACATGGTTTGTGTTTGCCCATGGGTGTTTTTGCAATAAAATAGAAGAGTTGAGTCGTTGCAACAAAGACTATGTGGTCCTGGCCTTTGCAGAAAAGGTTTCCAAAACTTGAGCTAATTAATATACTGCATGAAAAGAACTTAAAATGTTTTGTTGAAAAGATTGCATTAATAGGTATAATTTTAACATCCTGAGTCTATTTTTAACTAAATTATTGCTCAAGTACAAGATGAGGGAAATTAAACTTTATAGTAATTCATGTAAAAATAACAAACTGTGTGATATTGGAAACAGCCACTTGCCTCCCCAGCCAAATCAGCGAAATCAACAAATGCCACAAACATCTTTTAGGAAAAAGCCAGCAGATTTAATTAACCTCCAGCTAAGTAAGGAGCCAATGATGTGAAGTGGCTAATTTTAAAAAGCTGATGAATGGGGGACATCTGTATTACTATCAAGAATGAAAAATAAAAATCTGATGAAATCTTAGATTGTATTCTCAAAATTTAGAGAATCCAGAGTACGATGGGAGAGTCGTTGTATCTCAGATACTTAAAGAGTATACAACTACTCCATATCTTCTTCAAAAAATGACCTTGAGAAGTTATGGAGAACCTCTGCGCGGCAAGCCGAGTCACTCAAAGGTTTTTACAGCAACTCTGCACACCTACTGCTGCTGGGACCCACAATACTCCCAGAATCCACATGGGTCCACACTGGTGAAAGGGCAGCTACTTTTCCCTAATCACTAGGGTCCCATGACATTTTATCCTCTCTTTTTTAATGCTTCAGAAACTCAAAGTACATTATGTCATCTACTCATTTAGTATGCCAGGTTCTATTCCCCTGGGGGTGGGAGAGGGGAGTCTAGTTAAATGTTGAATACCTCCAAAACAGCAACTATATAACTTTCTTTTGAAAGATTTTCCTAGAATATACTCATTAAATAGTTGAGAATACTTCCTGAGTCTAGCCAGGACATATTTAGTTCCATTCTCAAAAAAACGACAAAACAAAAAGCAACAACACAAAGCAACAACAAAAACAAAAAATAGTTTTCTCAGCACAGGATTCTATATACTAGAAAATGGTCGTGGTATTACAAAATTTCATTCCTACCATGAGAATACCTAACCTGACATCCTAAATATTTTCATCAAGCTTGCCTTACTTTTTTAAATTCTGAAAGTAAAGATACTATCTTACCCATAGTCCTTAGGGAAGAAATACCTAATAAAACTCACTACAAGGCATTTCACATTTCATGAATAAAAATTCCATATACATTCCACTAAATAAAAATATCACAGAGAGGACTGGAAAACTGGCGATTATGCTCAATGGTGACCATTAATGCTTTAGGTCAGTGGGTTTGGCATAAACTTCATAGAACTCCACGTGTTCCTCAGTGCCCTCTGAGATGCCAATAAGGGAGGAGGAGCCGAGTAGTGAAGGAGCCTAGAACCTTCCCAGTTTAAACCAGACCTGCTTTACTTTAATCTGTTCTATATGCATAATTTTTGCCTAAGATTTTATTCCTATAAGTGATTGTTCCTAGAACTAAAACCACATTCAAAAGAAAATCAATGTAGCTAGTTAAAACTTTTATTTAAGTTCATAAATGGTCATTTGACACGAAGTTCTCAATCTTATTGTTTGTCCTATATTTACCTTCGATCCTGGAGTTCCAGGCTGACCTGGTGAGCCATCGGTTCCCATCAAACCCTACATTTTTAAGTGGGAATTCAAGAGAAATACAGAGAAAAACATTTTAAAAATTTAAATTCATTTCCAAGCTACACATTCTCATAACAATTGATCCACTTATTTGGAAAATTTCCTTACACACATCCAAATAAAGGATAATAAAGTAAATAAGCAACCTATACGAGACAGAATGAAGGCTAGCAGAGCCCTTGTAAATTTTTTCTCAAAGAACCTACAATAGCACAAGTTACTGAAGGGCTGGTAAAAGACAGATGTAAGGAAAAGTTTATTTTTTTCTATGCTCATTCTTCCTTTTATCATGAGGGTGAAGAATTAGGTTTCTGCATAGATGTTACCTTGATCAACATTACTTAGAATTTCTATTTTCTTGAACAGTATTTTGAAAGAGTTACAATCTAATAAATTCTTTGAATATAATAATCTCTCTTCGAGTTACAAAATGGCCATATTTTTAACTAACCATATAATTCATAATAAGACAATGATAACCACTCTAGCAAAAGGACCTGATTTAGTTTTTGTTGTACTTTAAATACCATCATGTATACTAAAAATATCTGCTTTCTCTTAAATATGGCAAAGGAAATGTGATGAGCAAAATAAAAATTCAACTAATATCATCAGAAAATATAATCTCAACATGGCCATATTAAAAATACCATGTCATCAATACTATGCTTTGCTGTCAATTTAGGATGTCATTGCAATTATAAAATATAAAATATACTAGTTAATAGCACAGTTTATGAAATATTAAAAATTTATTTTCTGGTTTATCTATAGTAAGGTCTCTGATCTTTATTTGGGTGGTCAAATTTTTGAGAACCTGAAGAAATCTAGACTTTTCTAGAAAAATGGACATAAACATTATCTCTTTCATACAAATGGATGGAATTGGTGAACCCCAAGTATCTTATTGCTGGACCCCACCAAGTTTTGTGAACTCCAGAATAAGAACTCCTGGTACATAGTAACAATATTTCAAAAGCCTGATAATAATGACATTAACATACAGGTATCCCCGGAGCTCCTTTTTTTCCTAATGGTCCTGGAGGCCCAATTTCTCCCTAAAAATCAAATACAGATCACATTTAAAATTGGAAATTATCAACTCATTTCCAGAAATTTCCGACCCAAGCACTACAGAATGAAAATTCAATACCAATCAGCCCAGTGTGGTCTGTTTTCCCTTCCTGTACTATAAGAAAGGAGGAAGGCAAGGCTGAAAACTCAGGAATTGAACACCTTAATGACGTGGGCCTGGGGTCTGTGGTGGACTTACAAAGTCAAATATTTTCATTAGGAAGTCAGGTATGACACTTGCCAGTCTTTCAAAGATGACCTAGCAGTTCACTAAAAGGTGAGACAACAGGGGAGAATAATAAAGAAAAATTTTTTTTTACTTATCAGAGTTTAAGATCTATGATAGTAAAAACAAATAAAAAAAATGAATACGGAATAACAGCATTCAGATTTAAACTTCTGGGATTGTGGCTCACTGGGTGCTCCAAGGGATTCTCGGAATCCAGAACAAACACAAACAAAAACAAAAAAACAGAAAGAGCATCCTCTGTGAGAAAATGCCAGTCTTCTAAGAAGTAGGGGAGGTCTTCAAATATCCCTTATTTTAATAAAATATACTCTGGGTTGAGGCTATAATTATGAGATTTGGAGCTGTGCAGGAGTCAGAGGACTGGGGTTGTCTGAGAGTGCATGCTCAGCTCAGCAAACTGACTGCTGGACCAGCCATCTGTAGAGGCAGAACTTTCAAAGGGGGTTGAAATTGTGTCCACGTTACCAATTGGAGGCAGCTCTCCATCTCCAATTAGGCTGACAGGACTCCCACCAACTAAGATAAGCAATGAGCTCACAATCAACCAGAAAAAAAGAGGCAGCAAGCCACAAACTGAGACTCAACAGGAATATCCACAAATGACAGAAGCAGAATTTAAAACTGTATATGAAATATTTACAAATTAAAAAATGAAACCAGGAGGACTAGTAGGACTGAAAACAGAATAAGAAAATTTATTAAGAATAAAAAGATATTATTAAAAATTAGAACTTGCCCTGACTGGTTTGGCTCAGTGGATAGAGCGTCGGCCTGTGGACTCAAGGGTCCCAGGTTAGATTCCAGTCAAGGGCATGTACCTTGGTTGCGGGCACCCCCCCAGTGGGGAGTGTGCAGGAGGCAGCTGATTGATGTTTCTAACTCTCTATCCCTCTCCCTTCCTCTCTGTAAAAAATCAATAAAATATATATTTTTTAAAAAATTAGAACTTGCCATGGCCAGTGTGGCTCAGTAGTTTGGAGTGTTGGCCTGCACACCTAAGGGTCTTGGATCCGAATCCTGGTCAAGGGCACATATGTGGGCACCAGTTGGGGCCGGTGCAGGAGGCAACCAATCCATGTGTCTCTCTCACGTTGAGCTCTCTCCCCCTACTTCCCCCCATCCCAACTCTACCTCCCTTCCACTGTCTCTAAAAAATCAATGGAAAAGATATCCTCAGGTGAGGATTTAAAAAAAACAAAAAACAAAAAAAAACCCAACAATTGATTTAAATAGATTAGACACAGTAAAGGAAAAATAAGTACACTGGAAAATATATCCAAAAAATTGAACCAGAATGTAAGACAGAATAAAGAATATGAAAATAAAAAACTATTTAGGGATATACTGGTAGAGGAAAAAATTAGAAGGGATAAATATATCTCACAAGAATTCCAGAAAGATGCAACAGAAAGAATAAAATAGTAGTAATGTGGAGGTAATGGTTGATGTTTTATAGAATTAATACAAATGATTCCACAGAGCCGGGAAGCAAATTGAGTTCCCACCAGGATGAATAAAGAGAAATCTTTATCTAGATACACCACAGTGAGTTTCAAGAATACTAAAAACAAGAAAATACCTTAAATGAATCCCAAAGAAAGGGACAGACACAAATCAATGGTCATTAGATCAAAGCAGATTTTTCATAGTAACAACAGAAGCCAGGAGACAATAGAAGAAATTTCTCAATGTGTTAAGAGAAAATAATCATCAATCTTGAATTGTATGCTCTACAAAATTATGTCTCAAATACAAGAGTAAAATAAAGATATTTTTAGTTAAATCAAAACTGAAAGTTTATTATCAAGATATCTGTACTAAAAGAACTTCTAAAGGTATAGTTCAGGAAGTAGTAAAATTACTACTAAGAGCACAAGACAGAAAAGTAACCTAGTAAGATAGAAAGCAAGTATGCAAATGCAAATTTATATTATCTGGATAAAATAATAATAAAAACTAATTTGTAAAATAATAGCTTCTGAACTTATATCATATTTGAACAATTGAGTTGCCATGAATGTAGTAAAAAAGTATTCTTGGTGAAGACACATTGCCCTTTTAATAAGCTGATCCAGGCCCAAATCTTTCAACTTTCATCAACACTCACCTTTTGTCCCATTAATCCTTGGTTTCCAGGAAATCCTGGGATTCCCTAAAAATAAATAAAATATATTTTTAAATAAAATGTTGACTGTATCATTAGAGAATAGGTCATAATTGGATTTTAACTTATAAGTAATGCATAATTTCAAATATATCCATTTACAGTATAATACTTCCACTTATAATAATCCAATTTGGAAAACAGGAAATTTATGAGTTGATACTATATGAATATCTACTGATATTAAAAGTTTAAAATAAAGGCTTTCAAAAATCTCTGAGGATATTAACCTTAGTTCTTCCTTCAGACCAACATAAGTGATAAAATAAGGACATTTCATCTAAACACATTCCTGTGTTACTTATCAAGAATAATGCAAAGAAAAATTGTCAAATCAGAGTTCAGATTCAACACAACAGTTCCAAAAGCCCTCACAGTATCACAACTATAATTAAAAACTGATGAAACTAAATAATTTCCTCCGAACTGAGCCTTGAAATACCCAGAAACCTAACTCCTTGTGTAAAATATGTAATCTTTCTCCTAATGATTCCCTTGCTAATAAAATCATAAAGAATATGCAGGCCACAGCTTGTGGAGAGACAGGAAAACAGAGAGGTCTTTCACATGGCTCAACCCGAATGTACAAGTCCTCTAGCAAGAGTCAGAGGAACTTAATGTTAATTTTATAAATTTGAGAATAACGTTAGTACATTTATTAATGAGAAAATTCTACTCAGTCTTTCAATATATTTATCAAAATGATCATTTCTCACCCAAACCGTGATGGTGCTAATCACATTAATCAATTTTCATTTTTTTATTGTTTTTCTTAGCTCCTTTCTTGATGACACTTAAGATGGAATAATTAGTGTGTGTGTGTGTGTGTGTGTGTGTGTGTGTGTGTGTGTGTTCACAATCTGGCAGGAAAGGGAATGTGAAAGAGAAAGAAATTAGGTCCCATCAGTATTTTTCTGAAAGACCTCTGCATCATTAGGGCTTACAAAAAATAAGCAGTGCTCTCCTCAGTAAATCAGGGCAAGTGGTAGAGATGCCACTATCAGTGAAATCAAATATCTCCTATTACAGGGACAGTCTGCCATAATTTTGCCTCTCACATTTTGATTTTATTAATACAACTAGAGGCCCAGTGCATGAAATTCATGCCCTGGAGCGGGGGGGGGGGGGTGGTGTCCCTCAGCCTGTCCTGTGCCCTCTCGCAGTCTGAGACCCCTTGGGGGATATCCACCTGCCGCTTAGGCCCGATCCCCAAGCCGGCAGTCAGACATCCCTCTAGCAATCTGGGATCCCTCACTCCTTACCACTCAGCCCGCTGCTCCTTAGCGCTGCCGTGGAGGCAGGAGAGGCTCCTGCCACCATCGCTGTGCTCACCAGCTGTGAGCCCGGCTTCTGGCTGAGCAGCTGCTCCCCCTGTGGGAGCGCACTGACCACCAAGGGGCAGCTCCTGCGTTGAGTGTCTGCCCCTGGTGGTCAGTGTGCATCATAGTGACAGGTCATTCTGCTGTAATGGTCGCTTAGGCTTTTATTATATAGATTCTGTTCAGTGCAGGACAGGAGCATATAGTTCTAGTTTAAAACTCCACTTGAATTATAAATTGCAATTCAATTTTATTCTACTCGGCTCAATTCAGTTTGCCAGGGCTCTACACCCTTTGCAGAGAAAAAAATGTATGTAAGCAATGGCTATCTACAGGTGTTTGAAGTCTACTTGAAAACACAAGCCTTTATAAATGTACTAACCAGATATAATATAAAATAATATTAAATCTCAATGTAACATTATAAAACATGAACACAGGACATTCTATAAACACTCTAAAACATAAAGCAAAAGTAAAATGAGTTTTAAGTATAATGAACATAGAATAATATAAAATGTATCCTTATATACAGAAAATTTATATTCTCAAAGAAATCAAGGCCAATATTGTTTAGAATAAAGGCTCCATTTAAATAGATAGCACCTGCAACCAAATCACACACACACACACACACACACACACACACACACACACTCAGTTTAGATTAAGTTCTGAGTTTAAATAAAATCTCCTTATAAAATCGTATCAAGATGGCCACACATTATTCTATGCTAATACCGTGTGGCAACAGTCTCTTGGCCCGAAGAATCCCTAATGGGGTCATGTAATTGCCCATGATACAAGCAAACCCGAAAAGCTGAAATTTTGCTGCACAGAGTAGTCCTTTATTATTTAGGGTTTCATCACTACTCAAGTCTCTATGCCCTTCATTATCTATGATAGTAATAGGAAATAGTTACAGATATCCTGACTTATCTTGTTTCTAAAGCCAAATTAGGAGTCAGCAAGTCTGCACCTTCACTCTGGGGGGGAAACAGAGTTATGCCCAGGCATCCCTGAATAGCAAGCTGGCTTCCACATCCCAGAAATCCTTGAGAACCCCACATTTACCCACTGGGTCTGATTTGACACCCTTCTATCTGAGTAATTCTAAGACTGAGCTTGGTTTACATTAGGACATAGCCACAAATCTTACATTATCTCAACATATTAGATATTGAGAATATTTTGGGGGAACTTCAGGTTGGAAAAAAAGGTTATTTTTCAACTATTGTGTTTCTTCTAAAATTAGTGAACATTAAAATACATTTCATAGATGTGAAAGGAAGTCATATCCTCTATTTCACTTATACCAAGAATTATTAAATACTTATATTGTAAGTAACAAGCAAAAATATATAAAACTATGTAATATTAAAAACAAAATATAAAACTAATTTATAAAAGCAATTTTGGCCAAACTAATATAATATCATGAGCATGCATGAAATAAAAGACTGTTGAGAGAGAGGTTAACCAGAAGAGCTGAAATCATTCAGAGCTTTATTAGTTAATAAAATTCTCCTAGATAATATTTTCCTGGGCTCCCAATGCATTTACTGAAACAGACTAAACCTTGCCAATTTTACATTTTCAGAAATATCATTCAAAACCATTTAAAAGTTACCAGTTTGTTGATCCAAAAGTATTTAGTAACAATTACTTTATAGAGCAAATGTTTGTCCAAGCTAAATCTTTATATTTCTCTTCAGCCTGTGTGGTTTGGGTTCAGACAACTGTGAAATGTATAAGTAAAGACAGAAACAAGTCTTTTATTTGGTAAGAGTAAAGAGACCTATTTCTTCCACTTATGTGATTTCAGTTTGGGTTTTGAGGAAGAGGAGAGAATCAGCTAGCAATTCCTGTAAAATGTTGTGGTGAAAAATGTGAGTATAAAAATAAATGTTCTAGAACCTTCTCTGTAACCATTAAACTATTAACAAACAGCCATTAAAAATAGGAATTTAGAATGAAGTGTCTGGTCCCTATTTCCTAGAGACCACTTTATAATGAAGATGTCTCCATGGTATATTACTTAGAAAAGACAAAACATCACTTTATACTTCCCCACATATAATAAATACATTTATCTCACCCCTGAAATTAGAGCATCTTGAATCAAGTCTGCTTTTAAGTAATGCAATATTTTCAATGTCCTGAAAACAGATGCAACCCAGTAATGGTATTTTAAAATCAAATTTTTCAACGTTTCTATGTAGTGGTGAAGATACTTAATATTAAACAGCTTTCAAAATATTAGAAGTATATTATGTCTTCTTTTTTATATAAAGAAGTTATTTATTTATTCCCAGAGATTCAATGAAAGAAGAACTCATGTTGAAAGTATTATTATTAGTTACAAATATTACAATGATTATTTAAAAAGAACATAGAAATAGTATGAAATAGTTAAAAATGTAGACTGGAGTCAGTCAGTCCATTATGAAGTGGCTAATTGACTCCAAGCCAGTTATTTAAACTGTGAAATCTCAGTATCACTATATCAGACATGAAGAAAATAATAGAACCTAATTCATGGAGTTGGTACATTATATCAATGAACTTTCACAAGTGCTTAGCTCAATTCAGGCATGATAATGATTGGATTTTCATGACTGTCTTTTCACAGCTCCTCCCCGACCTTTGAAAGTTACAAAATAAATGAGTCAACTCTTTTCAGTATCTCAAAATTTGTCTTTTTTCTCCATTTTGAGGAAGTCTGTTTTGTCTTTCCACCTTGCCTTTTTCTATGCTCATTTCCAAGTTTCCATTGTTTCCAAGATGACTTTGGCAATCTACGGCTTCCCACTAGGGGGCGGCAACATGCTGGCATTGCCCTCATTCATTACCTTTGCCTTTTCATGTTTGGCTGACTCTGATTATATAGAAAAATACTACAATGACTTCTCTTTTTTAAAAAGCAGAAATACAAATACATTTATATTTCATCACTATTAAAAACATTTATATTTCAACACATTCTCCCCCCAGAAAAATATGATCAAAAGTTTCTAATATATTTATAGGTGAATTCCACATTTTCCAACCCAATGTTTTTAAATTCCAGACTCACAGATCATGAATGATGTACAAAAGATTGCTCTGTGGTAAGATAACTCTGAAGAGAAGTCACAGTCATAGCTGCCAGACCTTAAAGAAACCAATATACAAGTACTGGTAATGAACCCTTAATACAGAAATTACTGGTTTTACTACCCTCTTTAATACTTCAATACAGTTTTACTACTCCGTTTGATCTTTAAGGAGAGACACAGCAATCTAAGTAACACTGGATGAATTTTTTTCTCCCTAGCCTACAAACCAGGACCCACATGGGATTGGATCCAAATTACCCAAATAATTTCAATAGAAAATTCTTTGGTAAATACTTGTGGGCTCCTCTTACTTATGTACAACAGAAAATGTCACCCACCTGTCATAGTAAGTTACATAAAGAGACAAGGGATGCCACAGAAAGGAACAGCTATCAGTGAGCCCTTTGCAAAGTTGCTTCATGTTACTGGCATTTCTCACCCTAATCTAAAGGCATTTATACAGTTTTAAAGCCGAGAAGATATTCTACATGATTTGCAAGTGCATTATTTTTTAGGACAAGATTTAAAAAAGCAAATATTTATTAAATTAAAATTACACACCTGAAAACCC